CCAGGGGCGTTGGAAAGGATTTTGATTGTCTAAAAATATGATAGATTTAATGGGCAAAAAAACTGCATTAGATGAGTTACTGCATAATGGATTTGGTAGTGGGCCGATTTGCGGTCTTATCGTCCCCCGTCCTTTAAAAGTATAAAAAGTAAACAAAATAACATTATTAAAAGCCTGTGTAAGCTCTTAGCATACTTTTAAATGTGGCTAAAGAAGTTTGACAGGCTAAAACAGAAGGTAGTTCGTTTCAATCGTTTGATGTTCGCGGAAGAAAAGACCTAGATGTAGATTTTGACATTAAACGAGGAATAAACACACCACTATCATGGTCTAATCGAGAACTTTGACGCGTTGTTAATCGTGAAATCAGCTCAAAAGAGGAGAACGGACTTTTATGATTGAAAATTTTACAGAAATAGAGAAGGTGATAGTATAGACGTCTGTTCGAAAGTCGTTGAATTTTAAATTGTTTGAGTACAGAAGAAGAAGAACTACTAAAATCTTGTGAGATGATCCTACTAGCAAGGCGCTGAATTTTATCCATAATTTCAAGATGAGAAGTAAAAGTGGAATTGTAGATAACACAACCGTATTCAAGCACGGTTCTTACACAAGTTTTATAGAGCACGAAGAAATGAAAGCGAGTCACGAAAGATTCTTGAGATAGAGCCTAACATTTGATGAGCCTTTCATTGACACATGTTTAACGTGAGCCTTCCACGTTAAATTATATGAAATAATCACGCCAAGTAGCTTAAGAGACGAAACTCTTCCTATATCAACGTTGTTTATTGAAAGGGTGAGTGAAGGAAGCATTTTAGTAGAGTTTCAAAATAAAATCCAGAGACATTTGTTCACCTTTAAATTGATCTCATTCATATGACACCAGAGAATTTTATTATACGTTATACGTATTATATGTTTGCGTTTTTCTTATCCCTCTATGATCAAATTTATTTTTAATGTCTTTATTTTATCTGTGGGAGACATTTTAACAACAAATACACAATGCATAGAAACAGATGAAATGACAGAAAAAGAATAAGATGTGTAGCTTAATTTCCGCTGGAGCATTTCTGAATATTCTATTGATCACACCTAAACGACGTCTAAGCGAAATAACTAGTGGTGGTTCTTCTAGAGCCGAGTTATTATCTACTTTCTTTCAAACTAGTTTTTCACAACTCTCTTCACTTACCACGAATAATTTTTCACGAAATTCGAAATTAAATTTGATATTTCTGATGTGTTTAAAGCTATAAGTACTTTAAAGTATAAAACTTCTTTAGGCACCGATCAAATTCCTATCAAACTTTTAAAGCTTAGTGCCGAGATAATTTCTACACAGTTATACCATATCTTCTCCCTTTCTCTTTCAACCGGTTGTTTCCTCTTACCTGGAAAGAAGCTAGAATAAGTGCCATGAACGGATGTTATATCGATCCAAGCAATGGAAATATCTATGTGGCCGATACTGGAAACAGTCGTGCTCTACGTTTTCCTTCTGGATCTACTAATACAACAAATGGAACAATAGTTGCGGGCGGAAATGGACCAGGTCCAAATGCTAATCGATTGAGTAATCCGAGAGGCGTAATGGTTGATCAAAGTGGAAATGTATAGTTAGATGTTAAATCTACAGTTATGGCCTTTGATGAACAATTTATTTCAACTTATTTCTCCTTTACTTATACATTCTGATAATAATATACTTAATTGCTATGAATGAGTTTAGAAGGATCCTCTATTAAAGTTTCATAAATATTAGTATTCAGTTTATCTTTAATTTTCCTAATGTAGTCTTGAACATTCTAAACTACAACTTTGTTCGCTTTGTCAGAAGGAATTGCGATTGTTTGTTCATCTGATTTAAGATTTTTTATTGCTTTTAACTGATTCTTCGATAGATTTTTTCTGTTTAATTTGATATGTATTTCTAGATTTTGCTCGAGAACTCTCTTAACCTCACTAACTAGTTCTTCTTTTTCTGGTACTGACTTTTTATAAGTACCGGCTTCGAACCCTGCTATCACCTTAGCTACATAAGTAGTAGTATTGAGAGTCTGGTTCGATATAAAACCTAAACCATTATTTAGTATACTTCTTTCATCGTCGTTTAACTTTCTGGTTGTCATGTCCACTACCATGTCTTACTGTCCCTGTATACTAGAAAAGGACATATATAAGATGAATATGGGATATATTCATTCTCATCTAAACTAAACAGAATGTCCATTATATAAAGCAATTTCTTATTTTGTTATCGTATACTTATGAAAATCACTGCTCTGTCTGCTTTTTGTAGTTTGTATCTGCTACTGTTTTCCTGAACTGATCACATCATGTTCTCGAAGAAAAGTTTGAGTAAAACATGATGTAATTTACTATTCCAAGAAAGGATCTCAATTCCTACATCTACAATTTTGTTATCGTATACTTGTGAAAATCACTTTTTGGAAGGTCTGTTTTTCTGATATGGCTTGTCGCAATATGATCTTCAAGTTTCGGCACGAAATGTTTTTGTGCTGATGTTTTGGTGTCTGAAAATACTGTTTTGTTCAAAATCGCTTTTTATGGCGTTATAAAGTTGAGAACCTGTACGAAGGCGCAAAAGAGTGACTTTTTCTCGTGCAGTTTTTGTGTACTAAATGCAACTGAAATTAGGACTTTACATGAAAAATTAATTTTTAATTTTTGAGAAATTTTGAATAATATGAGTTTATCTTCTTGAATATAAATTTTGTTTACATGGTTTGGACAGCTCCGTGCAAAACGTCAGATCTGTAATACTATTTAAAATGAATAATTATTCTTTCGTTCTATGAATATATGTAATGCCAGTTTTGGCAGAAAAATTCTGTTTTTTGGAAATTCACATGTGGCATTCCTATTAAATGTACAATGGTTTCAAACCATAGGGATCACGACTACATAGTTAGTTTGTCTACACCGACCCCGGCGCACAGGTAGGGTGTTCCTATATGTGTTTGTTTAACGAGAAAACATATTGAACTGTCCAACCGTTTTTTCACCAAACCTAGTAGAATATAGGTTATCGACGACGCTAATTCTGAATATCCATATGAGGCGGGCTGCTAGAGCGTTTTTTTGGAAAACCAGTTTTCTAGAAAACCTCGAAAAATCTCCAAAACTTTCTCTTAATAAGTCACGATTGTAGCCCACGAAATGCTGATCAAAATGAGACATCTCCCACCTCTGCACAACCTTTCTTTACAACACTATAGAATTTACAAGAAAAGCCCTAAATTCTGTTTTCCTTTTTGTCTCTGTGGCTTTGCGCTGACAATGAACATTTAGGTTCACCAGTTTAGTCGGAAAAACTGGGCATCGATTGAGCAACTTAGGTCGTCCCTACCGTGAAACGGCTCTTAAGGGTACTCGATTCACTCATGGAACGTCTCTCAGACTCATGATCGTCACACTACACGGACAAGAAATTTTTTAATCTATTATATATATTTAATCGATATATGTTAATGGAGAGCTAGTTAGCTAAAGAGTTGTTTATGTCTGTACTAGACGATACAGGCACGTGTTCTTTGTTTCTCTTTCAACGTATACCTGAATAGTGAAAAACATATAGCTATATAGTCTTAAAATTGGGAGTTTTGGTGAAAAGTTAATTCAGCCAATCCAGTCTACTTCTCCTAACTTTTTCCCTTATATTTCAAAATATTTCAAAATTTTTATTTTCTTTGCGTCACATAATAGGGTTGTAAAATGAAAGAAAATAAAACTGTTTGTACAATTTTTAACTATATCTGACAGAAAGCCATGCGCTTATCATGATGGATATATCATGGTATAGTCGTTCACTATACAAAACATACCCCACAACAAAAAAACCCACATTTTAATTATTTTCAAATCCATTTTAATATTAAAGACAACCCAATGAAATAATAAAAGTAGGGAACTCTGATCTATTTGAAAACAAAATGATCAAATAACTTACTATAGATCAAATATTAACAAAGATTTTCACCAGTATATAGTCAAGAGCTTTCTGTATTTGACCAGAAAACATATACAACTAAGTGAGCTAATCTTGTATAATATTCATAAAACTGCCTTTGGAAGAACGGCACACTTAATACCTGCAGAACTGGTCATAATACACAGTACCAAAGTCTTCATAAACGAGGTGTATTCTTACCCATTTTATGAACGTATTTTTCGATGGTTCGAAAAAGACACATTTTAAAGCGTTGATGAAAACGCAAAGAAAACTGAAATGAACTTACAGAATTTTTACTCGGGTTTGCAGTTATAAATGAAATTGAAATAGTTATAATTCTCTATCAGGTATAGCCTCCAACTCGTGTTATAACCGAGTTATAATCTCCAACCCGAGTTATAA